TTTGCGTTCTGCCCTCAAGTCTTCAGGCTACGCTGTGCATATTTCTGCGTTCAGCCCTCTAGTCCTCAGACTTTGCGACGCAACCTCTAGTGCCCTTTTTTGTTGCAAGCTCACACTGCACCCTAGAAGCAGCCATACCATGTGCTGTGCTAGCATCGCCCAGACTCTGCAGTGCCACCTATGTGCTCAAGTATTAAATCCAGCAGCAATTCTACCTTCTGCCAACTGCTTGCAGTGTACCCTATTACAAAAAAGGAATTGCACAAAACCACTAGAACTTTCCAGAATTTTTCCTTTGCCAATTTGAAGCATGGCAACTTCCTCAGCCATGACAGATGTCTCTGATGTACCAGAAGACCTAAATAGTCCACCCACCCTTGATGTAAACATGGAGCCTGGCTCCCAACAACCGCCTTTAGATGTCCAACCCAATGGAGAAGCTGCAATACCTCCGAAAACCTATGACCTCAGAAAGAGTAAGAAGCTTACCAAACCTATGGAAGAACTCTTGAAGAACGATTGGCAGCAGCAATATTGCCGCTATACAGACTCATGGGTGAAACTAAATTGACCCGCGAGGGGTTGAGGGAGGTTTCCCTCCATTCTTGCCTGCACTCATGGACTGATAATAGCTTTTCTTTTTATCAGTACGTGATGGGTTAGGAAAAGAACCATTTTTTACTCTGCAATGCTGATATACAAAGGATTGATCATTATTAAAAGAGCTTCGTCACAAATGTGAGTTATGAAGATACCTGATGTACCAATAAATGTACTTTGTTATGGATGTTTTGTGGAATTATCTATCTGCATCTGCATAGCCACAAATCCACCTCATGAGACAGGACAGAAAAACTATAAAGTATAACCTTGACTGAGACAGTTTTTTTTCTACTTTATACAGGTAAGCATTTGAACAAAAGCCAAAAGGCCCTTTGCGACTGACCTGAATACATTGGCTCAATTAATTTATTTTAATAGTGTAAGAAATGAGATTTGAAACCTCTGAAGTCTTTTTAAAGAAGGCTTCAGAATGACAATATTTGCATTCATAGCATCGATGAGAGCAGGAGAAAAGTCATCTCATCACTTACAGAAGGAAAGAGGCGAAAGAAAAAAACACAGTTGATTTTCATAAATGGCTGTGTTGATTTGAATAAAGGAAAAAAGCTTCTGATGTAAATGAACTCTTGAATAACATCTATTTCCTCAGGACCTTGCAATATATATTTTTAAAATCCTTGTTTTCTTTTTTTACTCAAGCAAAACATAAGCAAAAAGCATTCAGGTGAATGCAGCATTTCACACAAAATTGAGGTTTTTTCCAGCAGTGCAATAACACTAAATTAATCCAAATCCCTGGAGATATTAGATTATAATAGCTCCTGGTGCTTACTACTGTATAGCAATAGATTCCAGACTGCATCTATTAACAGATGCCAAAGTTTCTGTTGAGGAGACATCTTTGCAGTGGCAAATACTACTCCAGAATTTTTCCAGTGTTGTGATTACTCACTGAAGCGTAAAGTGCTAAAATACAATACAGCTATCATGGCCTCTCAAGAAAACTTTGAGACCATGAATTACAAAGCAGCCTTTTTTATATAGAAGAGAAAGGTGTGAAAAAAGAGAAGTGCAAGCAATAGATGGAAACTAATCAAGTAGAGAAACAATCTAGAACTAAGAAGAAATTTCCTGATAGTGAGAACAATTAATCAGCGGAACAGCTTTCCTTCAGAAATTGTGGGTGCTCTGATACTGGAGGTTTTTAAGAAGAGATTGGATAACCATTTGTCTATAATAGAATAGGGTTGCTTAGCCTAGGAGTCCTCCAAGGTACCTTCCAACTCTGTTATTCTGTTAAGTTCTGTATCTTCCAAAACTTTTTTATCAATCATGTTACACAATATATTGTCTTAGAAAAGATGAATTATGAAAGCAAATCTGATAGTTAAATATATTACCAAACTGGTCTGCCTTCATGAGCAAAGGTGAGTTTATACCATTACAGGCAATCTCAACTTATAACCATAACTAAGTCCAAAGTTACAGTGGTAAATCATTGTTAAGCGGTCACCACATAACTGGGCTGATTTTACAACCTTCTTTTTTGCAGTGGTAGTTAAGTGAAAGCATTTTACCTAATGGTCATTTTTTGTGGGAAACTGGAAGTAAACACCAGAAATCAGTAAAAAACATCACAATTATTGTCATGTGACTGTGGGATGCTGCAAACAATCATAAAGTATGTCAGTTGCCAAGCATCTGTTGGAAGAAATAGCCTTCTGGGTTTAGTTCCAAGTGGGGAAAAAGACACTGGAAACATGGAGGCTGTTTGGAAAGATGGTTTAATGGTGGACAGGACCACATGGCTTGGAGCTCCAAAGTGAAAAGGATGATCACATGCTTCAAGATGTTAGGTGAAGGAAAAGAAGGGAGGGCTGAGATGCTGAGAGTCCCTTATATACCCTCTGTTGGCATTTGAATTTGAGCTTGTATTCTGATTGGTTGTCAGATTCCCATGGGGCCATGCAGGGGCAACTCTTAGGCTGTCCTGAATGCCAGGCTTGGTTAAGCCTTGCTGGATGATGATGTAATGAAAGGGCTTTGGGCAATTCCTATTATAGCTCTACCTGGAGATCTTTGTTATATAAAATATTCTGACCCAGGCCTTAATGGCCCACCCATTAACAAAGGTGGGGTGAGCTTCTGCTTCTGTGATGAGTTTCTGCTTCTGAGTTTCTACTCTTTTTAGGGGAAATATTCTGCCTTTTTAATATTTCCTAGGATATTTCATTTTTCTAGGAGAGGGGTGGGTGATAACTTCCTACACATCCAAAATCCAATCGCGCGCGCGTGTGTGTGTGTGTGTGGCCATTGTAACTTCAAAATTGTGTGTGTGCCATTCTAACTCCAACCTTTTGGGGGTGGGGTCTATTGTAATTTTGAACAATCATTAAGCTACTGGTCATATTTCAAGGACAACCTCCAGTTCAAATAAAACATTTTAGGAATTGCTGAATCCACTATAGGAAGAAAGTGTAAGAGGGAGTTAATGTTCCTTGACCAACCAATCAGAGGAAAGCTTGGGTTAGATCTGAGATTAGATAAAGGCCCTAGGTTTCTGTATCTAGAAATTTTTATTAATTTTTATTATTCATCTGTTTAGATTTACCTTCACTCCATCTTGACTTCTTGATATATTAGCCCTGTTGTTCATTTATGGAACTGGAATGGATAAATCATTAACTACCCTTAAACTGACCTCTCAAGCAGGTTCTAAACCATTTGATTATATTGCCCCTGGTTAGATTTGAATACTGTTTTTTTAATTCCTTTTCACAGAATGTCAGGTTGTTTTGAACCTTACAAAAGGTTTACAAGAGTTTAAGAATAGAAAAAAAACAGATACCATTACTTAGTTTTGCAATTCCAGGAACACCAAACCTGTTTTACAGCCAGAGGGATTTAAAAGACAGGTGAGACTCTCTCACAGTTTGAGTATTTGTATTTGAATGTTGCCTAAGTCCTTTCTAAAGCAAATGGAAAGCTTCCAAACAAGATTTGCACTCCAGAGTCAACTCTGGATCAAGTACATAATTTTTACAGGGATTCCAGAAATTATTACCTTTCCTTGTATCTTCCCTGCATTTTCTCTCAACTTTTTCCCCTATAAAAATATGCAAGATTTACTAGAAACCCATTAATAATTATAGCCCCAGAAACTTTTATTTTGGAAACAATCTGGGATTATATGATGTTTGTCAGCTTTCCTTACTAGATAAGATGCGTTGGAAAAACTTACTTTCTGGGAAGAACATTTGAAATCTGGTGGATTAGATTACTAAAAGATAGAAAGTGGGAAACCGGATTGGTGAAGCTTGTTTTGGGACAGCAAGCATTATAGGAGCCTGGAAAGATTTCCTAATTGCTTAATGTGAAAAATGACATCTATATGCTACTAAAACCTTTGTTCCTATAATCTTTAACTAGATGAAACAGTGCATCATAGAGCAACGTTTGAACCAAATATCTCAAATGGACTAATTTACAGAATACATTCAAAATCTGAGATCCATGATTCACATGGAAATTTGGCAAATTTCATAAAATATTTATTACACTGGCCTGATTTCCTAGGATTTTGCCTGTGAGGACAAAGTGTTTGTTTAAGGTAGTGTTGTGGTTCAAAAGACCAAGGCTACAATTTCTCAGCCCAATTTATAGAATTTATACCAGTTCTCTAATATAGTTCTTATCTCACCTCCCAATCAAAACCTTATACTGTATAATTCCACCATATCTAGAAGGCAAAGAGTCAAAGTCAAGTCAAAGGTTGTTTTCTAGAGAAACAGGTTGTCGTTTTTTTTGGTTCCCTTCGAATCACCGTTAGCTCCTGACTGCTTGGACTAGTCTTTGCAGTTTCTTGACAAGATTTTGCCTTCATCCTAGAGAGAATAACTGGCCCATGATCACCCAGCTGGCTTTGTGTCTAAGGCAGGACTATTTTTGTCTGATGCCTTAACCACACCAACCTGGCTCTCTTTAGAGTCCTTTAGATAAAATATGAAAACAGCAACTGTTTGCACTACAAAAAATAATATTCGGGCAATCGCAACTGCCTTCATTAAAACGATTCAGATGACTTCTAAAGACAAAGAAAAAAAAACAGGAAGAATAGGAGGGCCAGAACCAATTTAAATGCAGTGTCCCCAACGACTTTATGTTTCCACATTTGCATCCTTTATTCGCACTAAGCGTCCCCGAATAAGCGCAGTAGGGTGGGGAACCCTAAATTTCTGCAGAGACCACTACCACATAATCAATCCCCTTAGGTCCAGACGGCAAGGCTAAAATCGCGTTCTGTGGCTACGAGACTTCATGGGAATTGTAGTTCTGTGAGGTAGTACCGAGAGACGTCGATCGTAAAGTACGTTTATGCGCCCGCGCCCCGCTTGTCCTCCCCGTGAAATGCCTTTCGGGAGTTGTAGTTCTTTCCCTCCCTCTTCCCTTTGCTGCTTCCGTTGCCGGTTTCGCCGCCAGAAACTATGCCAGGGAGCCGGGGTGGGAAGCCTCGGAAAGCCGCCAACCCCATCGTAGGGGTTGGGACGGAATCGGTGACAGAACGAGTCCTCTACGAGTCCCACTCGCTTTATGTGCATCCGAAGCATGGTGAGAGTTGAGGAGATAGGTTGGGGGGGCGGGGAGGGAGGGCCCGGATCTTTCTCTTTTGGGAGGTGAAATAACACACCAAGGTTCAGCCATAACTTTCCCCCTCTGCTTCCAGGTTTGGTGTCCATAGGAGAGCGCCTGGGCCTGAACCTGCTTCCCCCTCGCCGTAGAGTGACTGTCATGGTGATGGGCAACCACAGTGCTGGGAAGAGCAGTTTTATCAACTGGTGAGCTGAAGGGGAATGCCAGAAAATGAATCAAGGGAAGTCAAAACTGGGAATGGCATCATTAGGACATGGAACCAATGGGTGTTGATATTGGTGCAGGGCATTATGGGCAAATCCAAATGGAGAGGGTGATACAGCACATGGCATTCTGGGAAAATCCTAGAAAATTATCTTTAGTACAGGTAATACTTGACTTATGACCACAGTTAAGCCCAAAATTTATGCTGTTAAGTGAGACATTACTTAAATTAATTTTGCCCCACTTTACAACTTTTTGTGCCACTGTTGTTAGGTGAATCACTGCTGTTGTTAGTGATACTATTGTTAAGCAAATCTAGTTTCCCCCTTGACTTTTCTTGTCAGAAGGTCACAAAAAGATAGCAAAATATGACCCTGGGATACTATAACAATCATAAATATGAGTCAGTTGACAAGAGTTTGAATTTTGATCATGTGACCATGGGGATGTTGCAACAGCCGTAAGTGTGAAAAATGATCATAAGTCACCTTTTTCTGTGATGTTGTAAGTTTGAATGGTCACTAAATGAACCATTATAAATCAAGGACTACCTGTACAAGAAATTGCATGTATCCTGTAGGTTATGGAGTTTGGGAGAGTTCAGCTCTTGCAGAAATTGTTGCTTCTAATTTATTTTAACTATAATTCTGGTAAAAAAAATTGTGAAGTTATTGTTCATTTGTTTCCATCTGAAATTAAGAAGGTGTATTATAGAAAGACTTCCATTTAAGTTGGCAGTCTGAAAAGCTGAACTTCTCAATAGCTCCTCTGAGAAAAAGATTCTCCATTCTTACACTTCTGTCCAAGTTTATATCAAAAGAAGTGATTAAAGGCTACTGAGAAAAGATGCATAAACAAAATGAATATAGTTTGTCAATTATACTGAATATGATCTGGAAGATATTAATATTTTTACTGACTAGTTTTAAAACAGGGAGAGGAATTGTAATCCATAGACACCTAAATTATTGTGTCATTGACACAAATGATGCTGTTGTAACAGACAAACAAATGGGTGTGGAGACACTTGTAGCAATTTACCAACCCAGGACATTTCAGGAAATTGGCTCTGAATGTGTAGTAATACTGTACTTCCCACCTTCAGTTCAGATTTGGCCATATTTTGCACACAAAGAAGAGAAAGATTCTACCTTGGTTTTCTTGACATATTTGTGTAGGTATGTGGAGGAACACATCCAACGTACTGGGGTTGCTATTGAGACTCAAGGCTTTACCTTCATCACCAGTGGAAAGAAGCGAGAATCTCTCACGGTGAGATGTACAGAGACACTCATTTTTAATATAACAGTGCATGTATCTCTGTTATGGCTATTGCTATTTAATCAGTAAGACTTGTCCTTCTTCAATATGCCAGCCACTGTCCATCCTTTCAAGCAGTCAATTGTTCTCTCCTCCAGTTTTGTTTTACTTTGCTTTGTTTACCCATCAGCAGCCAATCAACATGCAACTATTGAACAGGCTTACATAAAGGTATTTAAAAGTTCCTCTCCCCACCCTTTTCATTTCCCTCCCCCTTAAAAAAGCTTAGGTTTCTATTAACTGCTGATGTTTTCTTCCTGTGCATGTGTAGTGCAGATTTGGTTGGGGAGCTATAATTTTACGGTAGCTGTCTTAATAACAATAAGCAGTAATAAAGAATGCAGAAAGTTGTGTTTCACAACATCTGGATGGCCACAGATTTCCCTCCACCTATACCGGGTTCTGCAACCTTAAACACTCAAGAGCCATTTAGACCCATTTCCCATAGAAAACGCCAGAGCCACAAAACCTGGATGGGCATGGCCAACTTGACATCACTCACTGCTACCCAGTCATATGATACACACCCCAACCATGCCTACCCAGGTTTTATGGCTCCCAGTGTTTTCTATGGGAAACAGGTATCTGTGTGTATGTGTGTGTGTCTCTCTTTTTCCCCCTCCCCCATCTGTCTCTGTCCCTCCCTCCCTCTCTCTCTCTCCCTCTCCCTCTCTCTCTCATGTGTCAGACATGATATTCTTCCGATTAAAATCGGAATTCCGATTTTTTTGGAAATCGCCCCCCCTTTCCCCCCCCTTCTTCTCCTCCTTCCCCTCCCCTCGGAGGCCCCCTGAGTCAGGAGTTGCTACCTCCGGCGCGGCTCCAGTCCCGTGTTGCCTCGGGAAGGGAAAGGCAAAAAGGAAGAGCCGCAGCGGCGCTTTGCAACAGCAGCAGCGGCACCGGAGGCTCAGGCGCAGCAGCTCCCGGTTTTGCCTTTCCCTTCCCAAGGCAACGCGGGACTGGAGTCGCGCGGAGCCGCGCTGACGGTAGCAACTCCTGACAGCCCCAGCCGGACACCTGTGCGGAGCCTGGGCAGTGCGAGCGGAGGCCGCTGAGCAGCAGGAAAAGGGAGCTGGGCAGCCACGGACCATCCGTCTCTCCGTGCAACACGCCACCGCCCGGCCCTGGCGAGGGAAAGCAGCGGACGCTCCCCGGGCGGCGGCCTCAGCCCCACCCGCAGGGAAGCGGCTGCCCAGCCCCGATTTTTTTTTCAGAGGGGAATATCATGCCTGTGTGTGTGTGTGTGTGTGTGTTCCCTCTTGAACCATTTCCAAAAATAGGTGAAGATTGGGGTTGTTTTTTTTGCTGATGTTATTCTTTCTTCTTCTTTGGGTGCTTTTTACCCTATGATTTAAATCAAGACTCATTTGAGGTTCCCAGACAAATAAAATTCTTTCCTCCCCCTGCTGTGGCTCTGTCAATTGAACCCACCACTGGCTGGCCCCACCCCTCGCCCTTCCCTCTCAGTCACTCCTTGCCTGGCCTGGGAAGGTAAGGGCGACAGCGGGGGATGGAGACTCACTCCATATTCCAGAGCAGGAGCGAAGTGCCCCTGTACTTGCTTCATCTCTTACTGGATCTCACAGGTGCTTCTTCCAGCCCTTGTGGGTGCTGCACCTTGGTCACTCGGGGAAATGCATGACTTGCTGTCTGCCCTAAGACGCATTGTAGTGGGCTCCAGGAGGAGGAGGGGACACTGTCTCCCTCATTGTGAAGCACGCTAAATTTATCTGCTCCGCAAGGCACTGTGAGAGCGCAAATTTAATTTAGCCTGCCCGCTGCTCTCGTGGCATCTTGTGCAGCACAGCTAAATTTAGCAAGCTTCACAATGGGGGAGACAGCGTCCACTCCTCCTCCTGAAGCCCATTATGATGCTGAGCATCAGCCACATCTGGGCCAGGCCAATGTCTCGGGGCAGAAAGCAAGTCATGCATCTCCCTGAGCGACCAAGGTTCACGTAGCACCAACAAGGGCCAGAAGAAGCACCCGCGAGACGAGGCACCTACCAGGGTGCTTTGCTCCCGCTCTGAAATATGGTGTCCCCCACCATCACATTTACCTTCTCAGGCCAGGTGAGGAGTGACTGGGAGGGGAGGGTGAGGGGTGGGGCCAGCCAGTGGTGGGTTCAGCCGACAGGGAGCCACAGCAGGGGGATGAAAGAGTCACATGCGTCTCTGGAGCCACAGGTTGCTGACACCTGACCTAGACTCTGCGGTGAGTTTGCTTGTGGTTTAGAGCAAGCATGTGACTTGCTTCCTAGGGTCACATGTTATTCAGATGTTTAGACTTTCAAACATTACTTTAGAAAGGCATATTTTACGTGTCCAAAAAGGAAAATGCATGAGACACAATAAAATTAATATTTAATTAATTCAGTTGCAATAAGTTGCACTTACTTTGGTCCTGGGCCTATCTAGCTTTTGAGCATACACACTGGCATTCCACATAAAAGATCAAAGGCAGCCATCAGCCTTGAAATAGTTGTGCACAGTTGCTAAATAGAACTTGTCTAATTACTTTAAAAGCCATCTGCTACAGCCATAGTAATATCATGTATGCTAAAGCCTTCTGTTCTTCTACTCCTTTCCTGCAGGGCAATGCTACACTCCACCTCTACCCTCATTTTCAGATTTTGCAGAACTTCAAAGGTTAGTTACAGACTAAAGATAAATCAAGGGTTGGCTTTTAATTCAGAACAGCATTGTGTGGTCTGAATGAGTATTGCCTTTGATCAGGAAGCTGACATTTAAAAGTTGGGGTAATTGATCATTGACAGCTTGCCTGTGATAATTCATATCAGTAATGAAATTTGAAGTATGGCCTCTGGTTTTAGGATTATTAGAAGGAAAATATTGTGTCTGTTATCGGTTAATAGCAAGAAGCTGTTAGTAAATTTTAACATTCTGCTGTTTATCATTCATTTAGGAGTGCCAGAATACCTGAGTACTGAGATTTGTACCTCCAAGCAGAAACAATTTCCTCTGATCACTTTTCTTGATACTCCAGGCTTGGTAGATGGTGATATGAAATACCCTTTTGATGTGGAGGGAGCACTGATCTGGTTTGGTGAGTATAACTTCAGGAAATAGTCTTGGTTCTTGAAGAAGGATTCTATTACATTGGAACCTGGAGCCTCAAGAAGTTTTGAAAACATGTTTCTCAAGTCATCCTAGCCCTCAAAATGAAATAGATGTGCCTGAAAAAAAGTTGAATCAGAAGATGGATTAATATAGGTAACCCAGGAACGGTTTCAGTCTTAGTAAAAATCCTGAAAAAAAATATAGGCATGGTGATGGGAGAACAGAATTTAGCATAGGGCATTTTCTACTGTAGTAGCCCTTAGCTTGAAATAAATTGTCTACTGATTTATTATTTCTGTATGAATTTCCTTCCCGTGTTATATAGCATCCTAACTCCATCCCTTGTAATCTTGTTCAGGCCAACTCTGCGATCTTATCCTGGTCTTCTTTGATCCCATGGGGCAGGCTCTTTGCAAACGGACCTTAAACATAGTGGAGAAGATCAATGAAGAGCACGGAGACAAGTTACACTTTTATCTGAGCAAAGCTGATGAGGCAGGCTCCGAGGGTGACCGGCAGGTAAAAATCTCCCATGGATAATGGGCACAGATTGGGATGGGGAATGGCCCTCTCATGGAACAGAAGGAATTAAGAATGGCAGTTTATAAAATCATGTTTGTATGTGGGTTTTTTTCCTTTTTGTCTGACAGCGGGTGCTGATGCAAATTGTTCAAGAACTTTGTAAACGCCCTGGCCTCAATAAATGTGGGTTTGACATGCCTACAATTTACATTCCCAACTCCAATAAGGTGAGTTACAAGCTTGGAGTTATTTTAGATGTAAGAGTGAAGAAGAAGCCATGATTAATCCAGGCTTCTGGAAGGATGGGTGAGCCTTGGGATGGATGGAAGAGAAGAGCTTGTTGGTCAGCATCCTATGAGGATGCGGAAGAAATTGGGACTGAAAATAGAATGCTGATAGGTTCTCTGAAAAATGGTGATATATGTTTTCACTCGCCCTTAGCCGAGTCGGTGCGTTAATCATATTGAGGCAGTCTGTTGCACAATTGAGAAGACCATCAGCCAGACTGTGCAGAATACACTCAATGCCCTGGAAAGGGATTGCCGGCTCATTGAAGAGGCCACACAGCATTTGCTAGAGAATGACAAGTAAGAACATAGCATTGTGGGAGTGGGAGTCTTGACATCTGAGAGGTCCTATCATTTACAACAAAAGAGGGATGGTAAATCAGATCCCAGGTGGAAAACTGGGTATGTGAATTTGTATATAAGATGGCAAATTGAGTCACCTTGTGGCGAGATGGGTGGCAAATAAATTGAACTAATAATAAAAAATAAATTGAGAACAGAGTGGAAAATCTTGACAGCTATTGAGAGATAAATGATAGATTGCTATGGAAGGAAAATTGAGTAGAAAGTGAGTAGAAAAAGTATTGAAAGCATGCTGTTAAGCTGTTCACTTGACCTATCTCAAAGGATTGTTATGTAATTTATAGCACAGTCTTGCACACATTTACCCGGAAATAAATCCCACAGAAATGGAGCATTGTAATGAATTGCAATGTAGACTAATAATATAGACTTCTTTAAAGGATGGCTGGTCACATATTCAACTATTTCAAATGTAACTAGGATTGGAAGGTTCTGGCTGCTGATCTTTACTTTAAAAGGGGTGACAAGATTACAGTTAGAGAGAAAAAAAAGTCCTAGGAAACTAATATCTGCGAGAGTGCTGAAGATAGGCTATTTCTAGGGGAATGCAGGATTTAATGCTATTTAGCTAAATTTCTTCCCAAATTCCATATGCTGACTTCACTTTTTCACTTTTTCTGTTACTCAGAGAGGCCAGAAACAGCAACTTCCATGCTTTCTTTCGTGGGATACTTCTGGGCATAGCGGGTTGCCTATTGCCTATTTTTCTTCTTCTGGCATTGTTATTTGGCACAACGTTTGCTCACGAACTGTGGACCTTGGTCCTGGGGGAGAAGCAAATCCAGACCCTGGAACTATACACAGTGAGTACTTTTGTGTCTGTTTCCTAGAGTCCCCAAAACACCCTTTTCTCACTTTAAAATACCCCTCACGCCTTGTTCTACTTTGCATAGAAAAAATGGTCCTGGAAATTGAATTCCATAACCTTATAGTCTCAGCTTTCATGCCTTGAGGGTATGGGAAACAGGTTTTTCTAGCCTTACATCCACAAAGCAACAAAAGCTGATAGGTAGGATTTTAAAACATGCAGCTTCTAAAAGCTATAGAACGAGAGAATGAAAAAACAGCACAAAACCCAAGGAAAATGCACCAATAATGAAGAATGGCCTGCTATTGCAAAATTCAGAATCCTGGATTTCTTTTTCTTTCTATCCTGGTGTATTTTTTTTTGTGTGTGTGTTTTTTGCAGAAGAAATATGTAATAATCAAATTTCTAATTCTTACACCAATAGAAATAGAAATTAAAGTTTGCTGTAATTAGAACAGATGATAGGCTAGAGTAATAGGATAAGAATCCAAAGTACAACTTCATTATTCTTTGCATAACTAGCAAAACCACAGTTGAGTAACCTTTACTTCTCTGTCTTCCTTCTCTAAGTTTATAAAGTTTTGGTTATAGCTGGGGAACTTAAGAAACAATCATTTAGAGAATGCCTATTTGTCACAGGTACTTGCTGACTACTTTAATTATAGTTAAAATGTGTGCTAATTATATATACAGGTAATCTGTGACATGACCACAATCAAGCCCAGAATTTATGTTGCTAAATGAGAAATTTATTAAGTGATTTCCCATTTTACTTTCTTGCTACACTTGGTAAGTGAATCACTTCAGTTGTTAAATTAGTAACAATTAATTACTTGAATCTGGATTCCCCATTGACTTTGCTTGTCAAAATGTCACAAAAGATGATCACATGATCCTGGAACACTGCAACCATCATAAATTGGTCATCAACTTTCCAAATGTAAATCACATGATCATGGGGATGCTGCAATGGTTGAGCATGTGAAAAATGGTTATGTTTACTTTTTTCAATGCCGTTGTAACTTCAAACGGTCACTAAACGAACTCTTGTAAATCAAGGATTACCTGTATATTATTGCCATAAAATTTAGATATTGTTGGTAGAAATGTATTTTTTATATTATTATTTTATTAAAAGTGTAAGTGGATATATTTATGTTTTCCTCAGGTAATATCAAGTATACCATTTATTCTTAATCCTACTTTTCAGCAGCCAGTTGCATCATTTTGGAGGCTTGTCCCTGAAGATCAAACCTTTACTGTGTTTTTTGGTCTTCTCTTCCTCTCGATTCTCTTCCTACTATTGGCCAGCTACACTCTCAGGTAACAGCATTTCTGTTTACCAGGAAGGGTTGTTCACTACACTTCTTATAATGTTCCTTTGTGACTTTTGTCCCACTTAGAATGAAGCCCACTCTCTCCAAAAAACAGAAGCAGCAGTTGGAAGATCGACGGGATTACGTGTTGTATGAGGTCTTGGCTAAGAAGGTTAATGCTTTGGGAATTTGGATGGGGAGGTTTGAAGTTGTGCCATAAGGCCTGGTACCTATTCTGTAGGACCCACGTGGGCGGGGACATGAGTCCTGCTTGGATTCTGTGGTGGCCGGGTTGACTAGCGCAGCAAATTAAAAAATTACACTTTTTCTCTGCAGAGAAAGCTCTATGAGGAATACCTTCGACAGAGCATTGGTGAGCAGGACTTGAGCTGAAACCAGCCTATTCTGACGAGATACCATGCCCCCTGCCCACACCCCATCAATACTTAGAGAAGAACATTTACAACAGCAAGCTGTGAAAGTCCAGTTGAACCAATCCAGTTGCTATCTCTTTCACATCTCTTTCATGTTAGTTGGATAGGGATGGCATCCTGGGCCCTTTTGAACTGCGACTAACCATACCTCTGATGTCCTACATCTGAAAGGATTGATTTACTGGTTATATTTTTTTGCTAATCTGTTTGCTGCCTATGGATAGAACAGGGGTGGGCAAACTACGGCCCGCGGGACACATCCGGCCCGTTGGTCATTTTAATACGGCCCGCCTCTGAAAAAAAAAATATTCCTCTCTGAAAAAAAAATTGGGGCCGGCCAAAAGAGACCCCGCGCCGCGCGCCAAAAAATTGCACACACAACACGGAGCTGGGCAGCCGCTTCCCTGGTAGCGGGGCCAAGGCCACCGCCCGGGGAACGCCCACTGCTTTCCCTCGCCAGGGCTGGGCGGTGGCGAGTTGCCCTGCGCTGCGTGGCCCCCGCCTGGCAGCGTGCTTCTCAGCTGGTCTCCTCCTCCTCGGCCATACAGAACAAACAGGCAGAGAAGGAGGAGACCAGCCGGCTGGTTGGGGGAAGCTTTCTGCGCCGAAAGAGGCAGCTACTAATCTCCGGCTTTGCTCTGCTTCTCCAATGGTCCGGCACCACCCTGTTCTTGTGCTGCGAAAGAGGCGGCTAATGATCTCCGGCTCCGCTCTGCTTCTCCAACATCCGGCGCCGCCCTGTTCTGTGTCAGGCCCAGCAAGT